GTATATATATATATATATATATATATATATATATATATAGGTATAGATATGGTAAGAATATGTAACATGGTACCTATAAAATGATATACAGGTAGGGCGCCGATATTGAAGTGGTTAACGCACCTGTGTGCCTTTGAGCGCGTTGGAAACCTGAGGTGCAAGGCTCGATTCCCCGTGCGTGGTGCCGGCGCTCCCTCTTAGGGTGAGAGGCAGGTGACGCCATATGACCTCATCAGCTGAGTGTGTCGTAAAGCACTAATGACAACGAATTATACAAATATTTTTACCCGAAGCGGTTGGTAAAGCTTCATTTCTAGAGCTTTGGCAGGCGTCCTACTGCTGTTGGGATGAATCACACTGCATGAGAGCTAATGAACATTGCTGCAGATATACATCTACACATATGCATGTTTGTATAGGACAGATTAACGGCGATTTCACACCTGTCTGTTGATTTTGAACCATGGTGTGTGACTAGGCTTCAAGCCAACTTTAATCAACAAATGCGGCGGATAGTCCTGCCATCGCCTGCTGAGCGCGTGCCAAGGACCTATTCATGATGACCGCGGCCGGGCTACACAGACACTGTATGTGTGCATTGTAATGGTCAATCGCTGGTGACAACAGTGCTCGGCTGTTCCTGTCCGCTATGATTAGTTCACGCCCAACATAACGAGTCCGATCACGCATACCGAGACAATGTGCAATGCCCTGAAGTGTTGATAATGACGCTGGGAACGATGTTTTATCCATCAGTTGCCCACAAGCACATTGATTTGGAGCACCGGCGTATGAAACGAGGCAAATCAAACGCTGCTGTGCGATTCGTTTATTATGGCTCCAACAAAGGGGCTAAGGCAGCTAGACTGTCCTCTGAAAACACAGAAGGACAAGCGGGGTGACTCTTGGGTGACTGGGGAGTTTATTTACTGAGGCTTTTGCACCCCATTGTCAAATGTGTTTTGCAATACAACAAAATTAACATGAACTCTTTGCATGAAGCATGTCTGCACCTTAAGATGTTTTTGAAATGCAACATACCGTTTACGGTGTCAATGACATCAGGCTGTTCAAATCCTGCCGTTATTTCTCATGCACTCTTAGAAACCAGTCTGGGGAGGTAAAAGTGATAGACAAAATAGCGGATAGCGTGATGGGATTTTTTTTTGGGGGGGGGGGGTGTCGACTACAGTGCTCATTTTGCGTAAATGCACAGAATGCGATAGTGAATGGCAGAAATGGTGCAAAGCCCTGAACGGAATATCATGTTCAATATAATTTATATTGATAATAACGCGACCTGAGTGAGCCAATAAATAAAAGAGAAATAATCAAAACTGATGATTGCTGTGTTCTTGAATCGAAAGGACCCTGTGCATAATATAAATCTGTTGTACCTGCCACGTCCGACCCTTCCTGTGATTAGGACGGGCCACGCAGGCCGGCGGACGAGCATTCTTTAATCGGCACTGTGCCCGCGCAAGGTCACAGGTTTGCTTATGACCTCACTGGTCTTGCATATTCTGACTGTGACTTTTCCTTTGAGGAACTGAGCACAGTCACAGCCAGTCCAGTCTAACTGGACTTTCCGAACAATCCTTTCATCCGTTCGACAAATTCAAGGGTCACAGCTAGAGGCGGAGGTTTATAAAGTCCGCTGGAAAGGGAAAGAACACACGAATTTCGAGACGGTGACAGACTTGTCTTGGTAGTGCTCTCTTGCAACTTCTGGGTGGCTTAGAGCTTACATTGAAGAGGGAGGGACGAAACAAGCTTTCAGGAAGAAACTCAAAGCTCGACGTGCAGTCACAGCTAACGGACGTGGACCACAGCTAACGGGTGTGGGCTCCGACCATGTAGCAACCAACAGACGTGGTCTGCGCTTGACTAGCAACCAACAGACGTGGGCTGCGACCGTGTAGCAACCAACAGACGTCGTCTGCGATCGGGTAACAACTAACGAACGTGGTCCGTGACGCAGGCGTGTTGTGTTTCAGTGAGCATTTTGGCTTCTACAAGTCGTGCGATGACCGCTGGAAGAACAGCGTACGACATAATCTCTCGATGAACCCGTACTTTCGTAAGGGCTCCAAGGCCAAGAACGGGTCGGGCCACCTCTGGACCCTCGCCAACGTGGAGGGCCGCCGGGTCCGCCGGAGCTACACCGCTGCAAGGATGGGCAGACCCGACAGAAAGGTGAGCTGTCAGGGAAGTGGGAGGGTCGGGACATGAGCAAACGCTGTGGGAGGTCGGCGACAAGGGTCGGAGCGTCAGCAGACCGACGTAAAGATTTGTCTGCCACGGGGGAGGATTGTGACGTAAATAAACCGACAAGAATGGCAGCGGCTCGGGGGGTTGGGAAGGCTCACGATCCTCACACCGGTAAAAGCTATCCGGCAAACGCTTATAAGCTCTTCAAAACTATTGTGTTTTTCTCTCCGAGTATTTGCAGAATATCCGGCTTCGCTGTACCGTGTGCACGTGTTAATCTGTGCCTCGGACCCGCATTAAAAACACCCGTCCTGCCCATGTTAAAAATGTGTGCATAGTGACAGATTGTCTCCACAGCATGTGCTACAGGTTTCCATTTCCAGTAGGTCAAATCACTAAGAACACAAAGTTTTGATCATAGATTCTTATTATCATCTCAGCATTGCCTCTGCACCTACAGCCTAACGGCGTCGTCTTATTGCCGCAAGATGACGGCAGACGGCAGCAAAGGAGTGAAGAACAACAACCGGACCTATATGCAGTTTGTAAAATGTAGAACATAAAGAAAATTATGCAGTCTCCCGAACCAGACGTGGCGCAGCTATTATAATGACATTTGCGATCATCGCCTTCGGACCTGTCAGTTAGACGTGGAAGGGCAAAGCGGTCACACCTCTATTGTGGCAAAAAAGGCTCAGGCAAGTGTTTCTATGGGGTGCCAAACGTCGAAAAACAGAAGGCTATGTGCCAGCTGAGAGGAGTCTTCGTGCCCAGGGTCGTGTGGTTCTCACCCCCCCCCCCCCCCCCCCCCCCGCCTATGCCCTCGACCTAAGACATTCTGACGTTATCCGGTCACAAGCTGGGCACGTTGCATCACGCGCGGTACGATGCATCACTGATCGCTCTTGTCCCGGTCGGATTGGTGCATCTATTCTCTCTTCAAGGCAAAGCGTTCTCGTGCCTTCCAGCGAGCCATAACGTCACGTCCGTTTTCGACCACGCGGGCAAAAAAACAGATCAGGCTTGAGGTTTCTCTTGACATGACATGTGGCTGTGGCTCTCATCGGAGAAAACTGATTTGATGAAGGCCCCGAAAGTAACGTTTGACTCTCATAGAAACACACTTCACTCCACGACGGTGCCTACCTCCGCCCGACCCCCACGAAATGGCGATAGCAAAGGATATGTGACGAGCGCCATGAGGCCGCGAGCTATCTGCCGGCTTCCAAGGTATAGCAGGTGATGCATGATGATGATGCGCCTAGCCCCAGGCTCCCCTACACATTTACGCTGAAGACCACCCGTGGACAGAAAAGTCGAAACCAGACACGACGTCACGGCGACAGGAGACCGTCCAAACTTTTCATATCTTATAACGGAATCGGATGATAGCAAAGCTCAGCCTGTGGCTGTCAGCTTCTTGGGCTTAATTACCCGAACGAACTTCAGAGCATCGTCAATTATGGCTGTTTCAGTGAACTAACGCCTAATTTATATGACGGTTTCACGGGGCTCTTATGACAGACCCTGGCACGCGAAGCGCAAGGAAGCGGAGGTGACGTCATCGAAACGCGGTGACGTCCCAACTGTTCCCGTTGAGTTATGTCACTAGCGCGTGTAGAGGCACGTGGCACACAGAAGACGCAGTGCCGTCACACTTGGGACACTCAAACTACCGTCCCGTAGAAGCCATGTGCACTGAGCAGTCAGCGGAACTAATGGCGCGGTAAATCCGAGGAGCTGCTGGTGTGCACGGCATTGGCCCCTCCCACGCGCGGTAGTCCGCGCACCCAGCCGTGTGTGCAGACCGGCGGACAAGAGGCAGTTGTCACGGCATCGCCGCGTACAGTTCGGTGCACTTAGAAAAGCATGTTTATCCCGAACCAGCACATAATTGTTACGACAATTACGACAATTATAATTACAATAGCTGACCTAAAGTTCGGAAGGCCGCCCAGCTCCTAAGCCGCAGTCTTGCATCCTCGAAATTGTTTGCGTTTTATTCCGTCGCACATTTGCTGGAATCAGCAGCCGGCGTGGAGAGAAAACAAGGGGGTTTTCCTAGTAGTGGGAGAATCAGTGCCTACCCAGCGCTTCTTCTCCATCTATAGCCAAATGTGACACCCTGGACACTGGGTGACGTGGGAATTAGAATGAAGACGCTCTATCAACAATCGTTCAAAATAAATGTTCATTATTTTACAAACACCCAGCCCGCAGTACCATTGTATCATATAATTGCGAGACCACAAGCGGCCCTCATGTGAGGGCCCGGCCCGCGCGCCTTGGCTCGGCTCTGGTCGAAGCCACAAGCGGCCCCCATGTGAGGGCCCGGCCCGCGCGCCTTGGCTCGGCTCTGGTCGAAGCCACAAGCGGCCCCCATGTGAGGGCCCGGCCCGCGCGCCTTGGCTCGGTTGTGGTCGAAGCCACAAGCGGCCCCCATGTGAGGGCCTGGCCCGAGCGCCTTGGCTCGGCTCTGGTCGAAGCCACAAGCGGCCCCCATGTGAGGGCCTGGCCTGAGCGCCTTGGCTCGGCTCTGGTCGAGGCCACCGCCGGCCCGGCGCTGGTAGGTGGCGCTGACCGCCGGGGCGTCGGTGCGTGCTCTGCAGGTACCGTGGGAGATGACGCTAGACCTCTGCGACGACATTTCGTCACCGGCGCAGGATATCTGGCTCTGCTCCACGGCCGAGGACAAGGAGAACATGCCAGTGACGGCCGGCTACGGCGCAGACTATCTCACCTACGTGCCCGAGGTGGGCGGCGTCTAGTGCCATAGCCGTTTGGTTGGGCATCGTCGCTGTTGAAACAGAGGTCTACGTGATGCAACGGATGTGCTGGTAGTTGACAAACCATTTACTAACTTGGTTTACAAATAGTACATTGCCTTGAGCTTTTGGTCGTTTTTGTCTCAGTCTACGCTGTGAGCGTTTGTGAACAAGCCTTATGCAGCTGCTCAGTTAAGTGGCGCGCAGAACGAGCTGCAGGATACTTTAGGAAAGCATAACGCATGCCCACTTCACCAACCCATAACTCATGCCCACTTGACCAGCCCTTGGTAGAGTATTCCCAATGGTCTGAGACGTATGGCCGGGCTTCCCAGGCGATGGCAAGCACTGACGTGTCGTTGGAGGAATCGGCCGAGCGTGTGCTGGCAGGCACCGGCAGCCACGTGGAGGTTCAGCTCATGCCGCCGCTGCGACATGACCGGGTCACCTCAGGTCAGCCGCCGGGCGCGCCATACGGCCGTCCATGAATTATGCCACGTATGGCGGATGAGTGAGAAGATTTGATGAAGCGAAACAGAAGCGCAGCACCAGGAGGAGGACGGACGGCGTAACGTTACGCCATGTGGTTGTAATGCATGCTGAAATCTTTAAAAAAAACAAGAGGGATTTCTTGTGCAATGCAACCAACGCATAATGCACGCGAGCGCGGATTAAAAAATGATGGCGCGTAAAGTTATGTATAAACGGTCTTAAGGCAAGAAATCGTGTGTTAATCGCCCTCTAAGGACGTGTAGATTCTCCGCTGCCACATGCTATCCAAACGTCGGCGTGCCGTCTCGCCTTTTCAAAGATGCCGCAATCCCGTCTGTAGTTTCGCTAACGAGATGTCATTGGCAGGCAACATCTGAATCGAACAGCTGAACCCGTACCGTAACTGAGATCAAGTTATCCTTGCTTTGTTTTTTTTTCTGTAGAGCCAAAGCGGAAGAATTACTCCCACGCTAGCCGTAGAAATGTACTGATCGCTGTTGGGGAATGTCAATGGTCGCTCAAAATACACTACTAAGCGTTCTCCGGTACGGCGAAATGAACTATCTTTTCACCTCAGTGTCCCTGTGTCACACGTTTAATGTCAGGCGAAACCATATTGTTCACATGTTCACCTATCGTGTCGACAGAGGCCTTGCTGGGCGATTACCAGATGGCGGCGGCGCTGCAGTCGTGAGGAGGTCGGCGCTGGAGCGGCCACTGCCCGGTCCCACCTTTGACTGCTGACCCCGTCCGGGCATGCGCCGGCAGAGCCGCCCACGGGAGGGTCCGGCGCACCCGGCGGCATCTGGCCCGACACATCGAGCACGCGGTCCGCTCAAACGACAGTGCAGGCCAACTGACCGTTCAGTCAATGTCATGATGGGCTTTGAGTCAACGCAGCGGATGGTTCATTCAGTCCAGGCGTGTTTCATTCCGTACAGTGCACTGCGATCCGTTCGAGTGAGGGTCAGTCCGGTAAGTTCCGCCGTCAGGCAGTGGGAGACTTTATCCATCCAGGTGTGCATACACTACGTCCAGTCGTGAACAGAGCCGTCTAGCTGTGAACAGAGCCGTCTAGCTGTGAACAGAGCCGTCCAGTTGTGTACACAGCCGTCCAGTTGTGAACAGAGCCGTCCAGTTGTGGACACAGCCGTCCAGTCGTGCACAGAGCCGTCCAGTTGTGAACAGAGCCGTCCAGTTGCGAACAGAGCCGTCCATTTATGGGCATATTCTGGCACATGGGGCACGCGGTCCATTCGGAGGTCACACCGTGCAATCATGTACCCTCCGTCCAGTCGAGAGTCCGTCCATCCTGTCCGTCACATCGTCCTTCGGCTAAATATCTGGGGGTGGGATCAGTTTGTTCCCGCTCAGCTCTCCCCCATCTCCTCAAACTGGTCATCCGTGGAGCCGGCGCCCCCACCTCGACTCCGCTGGTCACGTGCGGCACAGATGAACTCGTAGACATCCTTTTCATGATGAATACGGCCGCAGACGATGTACATACATGTAGCCCGTCACAGGCACTATGAAGGTGCGAACGGTCGTTCTGTAAGTCAGCAGCGGCACTTTGGGAGGTTGATACAGACTACAGTTGGACAGTTTCGGTAGGCTGCCTGCATCTCGCCGTTCTGTAACTCATTGAAGGAGGGCAGCTAGTCAGATACCATAACTTACTTCTGAGCTTTGTACAGGCTATCATCCGAATAGTTTTACGAACAAAGACGGGCACCCAGGCGGAGCCAACCGTGATTTATTACGCGCATCACAGACAAAGAACAAAATCACCAACAAACGGACGACTACAACCTGGGGTAAATGCCCACCTGGTGCGTGCATTTTAAATCGAGGCCGAAGCCGCGTATATATACTTGGGCCGAAGCAGCGTGCCCGGCTGCTGTGTGTCGGCGTTCGGCCACGCCGGTGGTCCTTTAGCTGCGAGTCCGGCAGAGACTGCGAGGCTCTACAGCGCGGGACATGTTCACACGTACCGTGGTCACCGGCGTTGTATGAATGTGTGAATGGCCATGGCAGAACTTCGTAATGCAATACACACATGGACAGAAAAAAATTCCTTACACAACAAGGGATTGGCACGGCAAAGTATTCCGGTATGTCGAGCATGACTGGCTGCCGCGGCCGCCGCTTGCTCAGGGCTTTCTGCATGCCATAAAAACGAGCGCTACGAGCGCCGTCGGATCCATCCATCCGTAAAAACACGAACACGGCACACTAGAGTGACACTAGACGGGCTAATCAACAGTCGATGGAGCTGTGGGGGTCATAATACCTGAAGATCCCCGGGGGCATACCCGTCCAATGCAAACTACCGCCATCTGTTGTTGCCGCTGACAACTATCGGTGACTCGGTCCGATCCAGGACATTGAGACGCGCGCGCGCCTGCTGCTCGGCTACTCCAAAACCGCTCCGGATAACCCACCCCGACAGGTGCTGTTCAACACACCCACGCTTCAACGATCGCCTGTGTTGATCGGGCTATACAGAATTTGCGGACGATCCATGGAGAACTTCAGCAAGTTGGGGACTGGCGCTGTATCACACCGATCACCTGCTACTTGGCTCGCATGAACACAACCGAGCGTAATTTCATACTGTCCGATAATGAATCACGCTGAGGGTGGTTACCAGCGCCATGGTCCCGAGGTCGACGACACAGCCGGCGCAGCCACATTTCCGCCGACAGGCCTCCGCACGGGGGATCGTCAGCGGCGCCGGTCAGCGGCCGTCGGTCAGTGGTGCCGATCAGCGGCCGCGCCGGCGTCAGCGGCGCCGGTCAGCGGCCGCCCGCGCCGGCCGCCGGTGGGTCCGAGCCACCCGTCACCATCAGCAGCAGCACGGCCGGCACTATGTACATCCACTGCAACAGGAGTCGGTGCTGTGGCAATAACTCGGGCGACAGAGCGCTGCGCGCCGCCGGGGGTCAGCGTCCACGGGTCACGTCCCGCGGAGATCGCGCCCGTTACGATCGGACGCGCCGCCGGAGGTCAGCGTCCACAAGTCACACCCGTGGAGGTCAAGTTGGTCAAGATAGGACGCACCGGGGTCAGCGTCCACAGGTCAGACCCGTGGAGGTCAAGTTGGTCACAATAGGATGCACCGGGGGTCAGCGTCCACAGGTCACGCCCGTGGAGGTCAAGTTGGTCAAGATAGGACGCACCGGGAGTCAGTGTCCACAGCTCACACCCGTGGAGGTCAAGTCGGTCAAGATAGGACGCATCGGGGGTCAGGCGGCGCCTCGGTCTTCGGATGGTACGCCTAATGCCCGGTGTGAAGCCAGAACGCTTCCGCCAGAGCGTGATCTACATATGCGCTCGCATCACCCACAAAGGCGATGTGAACATTGAAGTACCACAAGCGTTTCGAGTTAAATTGAAGCTACCAGTCACAAACTTTGCACCTGTCTAGTAAGTTCAGCAGGTAGGTTTTTTCGGGACTTTGCAATCAAAGCAATGTTTGTCGGAGTCCTTGCAGTGCGGTACGTCCACCGAGAAACCACCGTAGATACGACTGGTCCAGAAACCGTGACTCCATCACTATTTGCCCAAGCTGGAGAGGCAGGCCAGCTAGAGACCAAGAGTGCAAAGGCCGACTAACATGCAGAGCCTCGTCAACAGTGTAAGCCCTCATATAAAACGGGGAAATCCCACGTGGCGTGTGCAGCAGTGCTTAATGCTGTACACTCGGTGTCAGCAGCGAAGTTGTGCAAACACTGAGACATAATTTCCTCTCGCCCTTTCTGTGCGCTCTGTGAATTTTGATCTACGTCAGAATCGCACCTAAAACGAATCACTCCACTCCGCTTCGTTCACGGGATAAACACGACCATACTCACATATTTAGCTATAAACGACCGGTTGTCTTTCGTCTCGCCGCGCTGCTTTGCCATCTTATCCTGTTCTATTTTCTGAATGAAACTGGCCGTATCCGGGCTGAAAGGCAAGCGGACCTGCTCAGGACGCCTGCTCAGGTAATTACCTGACCAACGCACCACTACCAGACGGAACAATTACATGATGAAATACGCAACCAGCCATCAACCAACATAACGCATGCATCCAGGCTGCCAGTTTCATCCACAGAATCATTGACTGCGTGGGTTATAAAACGCCTGCGCTGCCTGGTCATCGCCGGCAGATGGTAGCCCAGAGGCGCGCTCACATGGGACCGGCCTCCGTCTGGCGAATGACCACATCGGTGGCGAAGCTGTGCAGGCCGCTGAGCGCCGCCGCGCTGTCGCCATGGCAACGGCCGGCGTCCGTCAGCTGGCTGGCGGCCACCAGGCTGCCGGCCGGGTCCATGGTCAGCAGCAGGGTGTGGCGCAGACCCGTCTCGGCCAGCTGACACTGGGGAGACGCGAGGCACCACGTCGGTCGCACATCCACACCACGCTGCCGGCCGGCGGACACACGCAGTGGTGCACACGTGCAGGCGCGCCGGCACGGCGGCACACGACAGGGGAACGCACAACGGGTCGTGGTGGCGTTACGCACTGTCTTTGCACGGCAGGAGAGCGAATGGGACATTGACGAATGTACGATAGTTAAAGCGAAAGGCTGGCCTGAAATAAAACTAATAAGCTAATAAATAAAGTAAATCCTGACACCATAGGGTGTCAGGATTTACGGTATACGTACCGATATTTGCCACCTTCAAGGGGTAAAGTGGCCAATAAAAGCAGAAAAAAACATGCTCAGTTAACAATGGACGTCAAAGCAAATTGGAGTTTGGTACATTATTTCTAAGTGTCCCTCTTCGCGATAAGTCACTAGTGTGTATCGTGCAGCGGCGAGAGGTACCGTTTATCATCCGCGGATACTCAAACCAAAACAGCCATCAGTACAGGACGTGATCTACCCACTTCAGTACGCCCCAAGGTAGTTTAAGAGTTGAGCTATCAGAAGAACACTTGGTCACCGAACAGTGTTCCTAGCAGTAAAGCACGCAAACTACGAAAACCGTAAGTACTCACTGCCTTGACAAATGTTGATACTTCTGTTTTTCTGCCATCCAGAGACTGAGCCATGAGCTTCAGCCGGTAGATTCCATCATTCTTCACTAGCATCTGTGAGTGAGGTGAGCACAATATAAATACTCAGTTTTCAAGGTGACATGTCAAACTCGATATGCACCCAAACCGATGCAGTGAGAGACCAATCTCTGCACACATACTGTCCATGTATCAGCTTGGCGAGCAGTTCTCACGCCCAGCCAGGGCAGCTCAGCAGGCTTATCTCCAGCTGTACTAGTTCAGTAGACAATTATCACCTTGGCAGGCTGTTCTCACCTGCAGCTGGGCCAGCTCAGTGGCAGAGAGTGCGCCGGCCGGCTGATAGGTGGCGCTGCCGCCGCCGCGCAGGCTACGGACGCTGATGGCACCACAGGGAGTGAACACACCCTCCGGCGATGGGTCCAGACTGTGCAGCACCGACACCGTCAGCTGGCCATCAGACTCATAGCTCTCACCGCACACAGCCACCTGAAACACATGTGGTCCATCAGTCACAAAACCACCTTGACCTGGCTGCAGTTTAGTGATTACGTGAGAACAAGTGGAGACCATCATCTCAAAGCGCTGAATGTTAGTGTTGATTTGAAGTCCCCATACTCCAAATTTTTACATTGATATTGGCCTTTGCTCACCCAAATAGCAGTGAACTTGACACAGGTAATTTGATTACATAACCTTTGTGTTTTATTAAGTCATACTGCCACTATACTGCTATATGTGGAAACCATGTTTAAGGCATGTCAGAACTGCCAGCAATGTAGCATTAGACCTCAGGGTTCCAAAATTCATACAGTAGGGTGTGCAGGATCTCAATAAGGATTTATGCTATGAGAATCATGGCCCTCAGGTGCCCCTTCCCCTCCCCACACAGTTCCTTGTCGCTGATCTGTTACCCTTTGCTTGATGTATGAACCCCACTGGAATGCTAATTACTAGCAGTCAACGCACAACTACACTTATGCATGGTTATGGTTATCACTCACACAGGTTATCAGTTTTAAATGTGTTACCAAATCAATCCAGAACAATACATTTCAGTTCCCAAGTGATCAGCAGAATGAGGAAGATTTGTGTTTGCTGGTGGAAATAGTACCTTTTATGTTTGTAGTTCAGACATGTAGCTATAATCATATCTGTGCAATATCTGATAATATCACTGCCTTAGATACGCAGCCTTGTGGCAAGTAGCATGGCCTGGTACAGGCTTGTTGTTTTTCTTAATTCCTTCTCTCCTCAAATAATAGTACCTCATTTTTCAGAGGCAGGAATGGCATATGTATTCATTGATAACTAGCATTATACCTAACTAGTCACAACCTATATAGCATTTAAAGATCAAAAAATTAAGTGAGATAACAAGATAATGTAGGTCAATTTCCTCCTTTGATGGGCTACCTGATTTAAGGGTCATTTTAATGACTGATAACAAATAAATACCATGACTCTTAACTTTTCATTTGATTTTGTAAATTGAATGGAGATTAGGAGTGTTTGTATTTTTGAAAACATAACTGTAGAATATCAGTTACATTACTTCCATTTCATCTATGTGTGGAATGCCTTAAGCCCCTGGTTTTTAATCATAACAGTTAGTAGCTCTTATGTTGAAAATATTTGACTTCTGTGCCCTGGAAGGTAGCACATAAACAACATAACCAAGCTAGCCTTGATTATTTTAGGAAAGCTTGACAGCTTGCAACCATGCTTAGTCACAAAAATGTACCTGTCAATGCCTTCACAAGCACTTCAATGATAAATTACTAAAACAAATAATAAAATACAATATACAATGGCCAAAACAGCTCAAAGACATGAATTATCACAAAATCATGAATATTTCTATTTACTAAAACTATATACTATATACTATATACTACTAGAACTATATACTAGTGATAGCTAGCTACTTTTAGTAGTTAACTAGCTACTAGTAGCTGAATAGCTTATGAATATCATACACAACATTATCAATGTGCAAAAGACCACTCAATTAAATGCAAAGAGAAAAGGTTAAATGTGTTGTGAATGCAGAAAATGGCAACCAGATATTCTAGAAAAGTAATCGGCAATCTGCTTTCATAAGCCAGCATCTGTCATTCTGACTGCTTCTCATTGCTATCTAACCTGCATCACTGATGACTATCAGTATCAGTGAGTCCTGATGTCCTACTTTGAATGGAAGAATGCACAATTCTGCAGTATTGTGATCATTGCTGACACGGTGTGCCATATAACTGCGGTTTTATCTGTATTTTCATCAGAAAAAATACAAAAGTGATTAAATTCTTCCCTAAGTCCCCTCAAAATCTCGACGCATATCCATCATGGTCTGCTGCCCAGCATAGTGGTGCCTTCTCCAGTGCAGATACCTACTTACCAGATGCAGAATGAACAAGGCGGCAATATGCATTGCTTGTGGCATTTTCAGCCACAAAATGTATGCGAAACGGATTCAGAGTACACCCCTCACGTATTCCATGCAACAACGCAGCCCACAGCGCCGACCATGATCTAAATACGCTTGAAATGCCTGTTCTGCGCCATGAATGTCGCGATGTTTTTCACGTCATTTTCAACACGTCCTCGAGAATATTTAGTACGAAAGTTGACTAAGGGGGAACAGTGTTAGTACCGATTCCAACTTAAACCCGCGAACAAACGTCACGCCAACCAATAGATGCCAAACATCGGCGAGTTACTTTTTACTCTCAATAACGGACAGACAACCGTGCTATCGATCAACCACAGATCACAAATCATATCCGAAGCTATAACTCATAATGTACATTTCCGTCACTGATACATTTTTAACTTATATAAAAAGGTTCCAAAAAGAAGCTTTTGAAAAGTAACAAAACGCATTGCTCATCATCTTGGCTCATGCTCAGCAATCATGTTATTTAATGGAACTGATGTCATAACCAAGGTATCGGTGCCTGTAACTTATCTTCCTTTAAGTAGGTTGGGCTCACAATGTCGCAGAAGGTTGCTGCAAAAAGGAACTCCCTTGCACAATAATATGCCTATGGGTTGGTAAAATGTAACTCGGGGTCAGCGTTCATTTCACTTCCGGATTCCTGAGTTACTGATGTCCGGATTAGCTTGCATATCCCAGCATTCACCCTTTTCCTTCATTTCGTGGAGATGTTTCCATGTTGAGTGTGGTATCGCAGTATGCTGTTCTGAGTATGAATGTCGCTATCAGAGTATAAGTGTTACTATCATATATCGTGAAGCACTATCATATGTAGTGTATCGGACACAATTCTGCAATTATTATCCCTGTACGGTGATAATGCGAACAAAGGAATGAGCTGCAAGCATCAGGCTGAAGGATGTCTTTTACGATGGCAACGCCTCATGTTCTTGAGTTTATATCCACCGCTGTAATCATTCGTTGCCGTACCATGTGATTTCCGTTCGTCCATTGCGAAATTGGTTTGCAAGCATACACATTGAGGTATATGGTTGTGCGCTCGGTGGTGCATGTATTTAGTTGTCTACAGCTCCGCTTCTGCTGCGGCTCTACGGCCCACCCAGGTGTTTAGGCTATGTGGCGTCGCTTGCTTCTTACCCTGAGAAGAGGGGTGGGCAATGCGACGAATCGAGTTGAATCCCGTATCTCCGATTTTTTGGTCGCGTTCGGCTTATCCACTCCACTGTCGACACCCCTATGCATTCATTTGTAATGAAAGTCAACATACATTGTTTTCACAGATGCTGGACTGCACTACTGAGCAGCTCAGACGCTTTAAGGAGTTCGTGATCCGCGCTGTTCGAGCTGCAAGAAGCAGAGTTTCCGGGAAAGAGGACCTGCCCACAGAAAGTAATTTTTCCCTAGCCCTACCAACCACTCGCTGCTACCCACGCAGTTCGTTCTTCACCAGCCCAGCTCCCTCCAGAAACGTCCATCCGTTCCCCGTTAGCCCAGCTCCGTCACAACGCCCATTTGCTTGCCCACCAGCCGAGCTACCTGCAGGACCGCCATCTGCTCCCTGCGAGCCGAGTTTCCGTGAGGATCACTCACCTGGCCGTCGCCATGACCTGGCCGTCGAGTGAGAGCTCCGTGTACACTAGAAGTGAGGCTTCTATCGCGGTGAGAGGCAATGGGGTCCGTCAGGAGGCGTGAATTGACCGAGGGCGCTTGGCACGAGCGCATTAGACAAGCCGACTGAAATAGAGGAAGGTGTAGTTAGATGGGCAGAGTGAGGGACAGAAACGGAATGTTTTAAAAGCTAAAACCGTATTCCGTTGGCTTGTTTTCATGGCGAGCGATATATATGCCTTTGTCTCGCACCTCTAGCTTGATTAGGGGTCAGACAGACGTTATCTCTTTGAGACTTTACGTAGAAGACGATGTAACCAGGGGAGAAGGGGAGGGTTGCCCAGCCTCACAGCGCGTGACAATGGGCAGGGAGGGCTTGAAGACGGCCGTAAATGCTTAACGGAAGTTGTGGACGGCCCGTGAACACATAGAAACCATCCGACTCTGGGAACGCACCGTGGCCGACCTGGATGAATGAGTAAGAGTGTGGTGTTGGTCGCTAGTGCCGTCGTCAGTGGGGCGGCTGTCATACTGACTGGGGACGGGACGCAGGACGGCGTACCGGTGGCCAGAAGTCAATCAAAGTGAACCGGTTGACAGGCGTACCGGCGACAACAGTGACCTTGCCACCGACTGAGGTCACGAGCGAGGAGTGGGCTAACTGCGGTGCAGCGCACAAGCTGGGGAGCTGTTGAAAATTCAGAGGTCTGGCGGATGAAGGGTGTCTGATGGTTCCATTGAAACGCTTGCCGCTGATTTACCAGCGGACGGTAACGCATCAGCTCACGAGTGAAAACAATGTCTCTCTGGACGGGTGCGTTTCGGGTGGACGCGAACAAAACTTAACGAAGCCGAACACAAAAGGCCGAGTTTTCGAATATGTTAGGTATAGATGACTGAATCCTCACCCGTAATATTTGGTCCTTTGATCTTTCTAATCGGGGCCTCCTCTTGGGCTGACGGGGCTTCCTGCGTTTGTAGTGGGACAAAGTTTCGATCATTTCGGGCCTCCTGTCAACCAAAAGGGCGTGATGTTGGCCATCTTGAGCCTCTTACAGATCAGATGTTTTTTCCTACGTGCCTTAACCCTCGCCCAGGTATGAGGGTAATGATACAAACCCCTAACGTTTTTTGAGGATACATTTCCGACATACTGCGCAGTCGTGCCAACATTTTCAGTAGCCTGTGGCGCATCCATTTGTCTGTTTTGACAAGAAAAACGTATTCCTAGCTTTTCTGGTCTCGGAGCAGCGGCGGTTTTGGAGATAAACTGCACGGCGATGCACGGCCGACACATGCGACGGGCGGCAACCGACGATGCCGTGGACACATGCGACGGGCAGCAGCCGACGATGCCGTGGACACATGCGACGGGCAGCAGCCGACGATGCCGTGGACACATGCGACGGGCAGCAACCGACGATGCCGTGGAACGCGCGCGGCAGGCCGACATCACATTGAAGTAGCGACATATCATTATTGTGAGCCCAAAACACATCAAACATACACTATTGTATTCCGAATTAAACAAGAAATACACCTGTTAAGGTTTGTGGCGCTGCAAGGGACTTCTTTGTATGCACAATGCTGTAAAGCTGGAAAGGTGCGATTTTCCGGAAAGTTCGGCGTTTGACCTGCCATAGTGGGTTCAATCATTAAACTAACAACTAAAAAACTGGTGCCAATCGCGAGGTGCCGTTGAGACCAAACCACTGTTAGTGTCCGCCAACTTTGATTGGAAACGCGAGGGAGATCGAATTTCCCGCCCATCAGTCCGGGCTAGGAAAACGGTAAGTCAGGGCGAATATTAAGGGCCATTCCTTTGATTTCATGAAAATGCATACAAGAATCGCCAACAACGTGAACCAGCGCTGTGTCCGCCGATGGCGTCGGCAGCGATCCTCTTGTACTAGGTCCACATGCCGAGGGCATATTTTAAGCATGGTCGCACCAGTACCCGGGTGCCGTATTGCTAGCAGAACACATTCTACGCATCCCAGGCCAACACCGTGAACAAACCGGCTATCCGAAAAAGCGATAGTTGTGTACAAACTCTCATTTTAGGAGTACATAGAAGCAACCGCAGTATCAACGGCTTTCATTGCAGAAGGGTAGAATAATTCGCGCTAAAAGTGTCACTAGCAATGATGCGCTTTCACGTTAACCAGCGCTGGATGCCGCAGTTACAGCGGAGCGATAAATAGCATTCTGTTAAGGAACCATCCTGGCCGATTGTTATTATTGGTGGTGACCCATGGTAAGGTTTGAGCCTCAGGCCTGGTGGAATTTAGTCCGGCGGCATTTCAAAGCATCTGACTCCCCTCGCCAGATCGGATGGGGTGGGTGATAACCTTGTTTACCACTGCCCTCTCCACCCCTTCGTTGCGCCAGGCGGGGAGCTGCACGGGGCGCCGCGCCCGGACGGTCGCGTCGGTCCCCGTACTTCGGCCAAACGCTATGAACAGCATGACAGCCAGACGCATGCACCAGGAATCAGTCTGGAGTTAAAGTTTTAGTTTCATGTAACATTCGAC